AAGTTTGATGATGCTTGTTCCACCAAATTTGTCCACCCGCTCCGTACAAAACGTTTGTGTCGACGTCGATAGACACGTTGTCTCCCATCCCGTCACTGCAGGAGGAAATGTGATTCGTCACTGTACCAAACCTGTCGCAGCTTCCCAGATTCCACGCCTGTGCCTTGTTGCACCTTTGGATACGTCGTTGTCGGTGTAGTCGTGCCAGGACAGGTCCAACTTTAGGTCAGTATGCTCGAATTCCCGCTTCTCTCAGATGATTTTATCGGAAATCGTTAGAAGACCAGGCACCTGTCTTGCAGTGTCCATTGCCGTAGCAAATCGGTGACGTAGGTGAAACACCCGGATGAATCGGTCGTGACCAGGACTGGTCAGTCTTGGTCTTCCACTTCTGGGACGATCTGGGGTCGAATTGAAGCGAGCATATTAATGCCATAATCGATATATGATGCTGTGGTGGACGTTGATGTATCTTGCAACAGCAGACTGGGACTCCTCTGCTTCCAAATGTCCAATGACGATATTTGGGTCAGTAGAATTCCACCTTCTCATTTTTTATCTTCGTAAATTTCGTAATAAAATGATAAAATTGGTTTGGCCTTTTCCAGTCCACATGTCAAATCAGGTTTCCGACAGGTTGCCCTTGCATTACGTAGAAAACTTGTTTACACATTTTGGGAATACACAACAACCACGACGTGATTAACCACGATGTGATTAACCACGACGTGATTAACTGGATTCTCAAATAGGAATTGCCATAACCCTTGTCCGATAGAAGCCCAAATGTTACATAAAGTCGGTTTGGGATCAAACCAAAGCATAGATCCTGTGAATCATGGAGGCTGAATTGAGATCAGCGTTTAGTGCCGAGAGGATTCTTCCATAGGCAAATGACATAGGGAGCAATGGCGGCTATGTCAACCATTTTCATGAAACACATGACAGGCCATCTGTTGGTTCTCCTCTTGACAGCATATATGCATAAATTCAGGCACTTTCAGGTTCCACCTGAGGAACCAGAATACATGATGGAGTCAATGTCCACTTTTAAGCGGATTAATGGTCTTTCACAGTGCACTTGGAGAAATGTCACTCGCCATGACTGACTTTCAAATGTGAGTGCTCTCATTGTCTCTGGGTAATAGGAAAAGTCAAAATGTCAGGGCACATATTAACTGTTTGAAAAGGTATTCATCAGTGAAATATTCCTTTAATCTTTAAAAACCCCATCCTCTTTTCCCCGTTAATGTAAAAACAGAAAAATAACCATTTCGGTATGGACAAGACGTATTAAATGTTTGGGAGCCAAATTCTTTTCCCATTCTCTTATCGAGAATCTGATATTAGTGTTCCCTGTGTTGGACAAGCAGAAGTGACTGTGTGAAATGAGATGTTCAAATGTCAAACTTTAACTTCATTATTTATTGAAATACTATTTTCATTTTGCCGTTTTGTTTTAGAAGATTTGGATTGACGTGTCAACAGCCTCGCTAACTACGTCAGGAATAGTTTCACAAACTTTCCAATGAAGACCTGTTCGCTTTGGGTTCTTTGCCTTTTTGTCCTGTGGAAGACCTGCAGGAGTTATGAATCATCACAATGCAAGAAAATCGGTCACCATGGCATTCAGTTTCGTTCGAGCGTCTTCAGGTTAATATCAGGGAAAAGACATTCAGTGACCAATACCTTCACTGCTCAGCTTATTCTGTGTGCTGCCCGGTGTCTGGAAGATGACAATTGTGTTGCAATGAAAGAAGAGAAAAACGAGGGAAAGTGTAGCACTTTGGCGAAGAAATCCGATACTGGTTATATCTGGATACGGAATTCAGGAACTTCAAACACAGGTATTTGAGTAGTTTAGGGAATGGGGGTTCCATTACAGGTACCTGATGGCGTTATTTGTGGTCAAATAAGCTCCCACCGATGGTGAGTTTGATGTTCTGTAGAATTTTTTCCCAGCCAAATTTTCAAAAGATTCTAATTCGCTGAAATCAAATGTTTCAACATGTTTTTCAGCAATCGTAAAACTAATCCCAAAAGATTTGCTACTAGGGTTTCTCGTGGTATCGAATATTCGAAAATTTGTATGTATGGATTTTCATCTAGATCTTCTATGTCTTGATCTTCTTCGACAAACAAATAAATTGTTGTTTTCAAATCTCTTTCCCAGGGAATTTTTTTTTCTCAGCATTCTTTATGATTTCTAATAAATCTTCCATTGCTATGCGCATTGATTGTCTTTCAAATTGTTTCGTCAATCTTCAACTATTTATTTGGTTTTGGTAAGGAAGGCTTGACGGGTTTATTGTCTCCCCTGTGCTATGAACTTTCCTTTCTCTTCTTCGCCATGGTTTTGCGATTCTTGGTTCGAATCTCTTCTTTCATCTTGCGGTATTTAGTGAGTTCTGACATCACTTAATGAAATTCTGGACAGCAAAATGGTCAGGACTACCAGGATTGGTACTACCTTTTTTGCCAACAAATATCCATACCATTAGTAGAACAACTTCCAATTAGACATTTGGTATTACCAATGCATAGCACTTCATATAACTTCGATAACTACTAGTACATGGCTATGGGTTGTATTCAATTGACTATACAAGAGATTTCTCTGGTGTGCTGGACCGCACACTCATGGAATACCTTTGGAAAAAACATGGCTTCCGAGAGCAAGGAGACTTGTCTTCTGATATGCAATCGAATATTCCAAAAATTCTAGACAATGCGAGTGTTGTCATGGGCCACGTCTGCACTTGGGTCGAGACCTAAAATGGCTATACAATGCGAACAAAACTCTACAACAAGGTTGTTTCGAAGCAGGAGAAGTCCTGGAGCAAATTGGTAGGCATCTGGCAGACTATGCGGATTGCGCAAACAAACACTTGCGGAAAACTTTCTTGCATCCAAACGCACAAGCTCGTGGTTGTATTCCCATAGAAGTTTAGCTATACACACATCCACACAACTCGGAAGAAATAGAAAACTGTTTGGTAGAACGAACCCTAGAGATGGTTTCTCCTCCAGACACCAACTTATTCATAGTACAACCACCAGCAAAACAATGGGAAAACCTATCGACATGCCTACACTGCTGTCTCGTTCTAACAGATCACCCACAAGGCAATGTATTTGTAGCTTGGTATGCACATTCGGGGACTGGTAGAATTTTTTTCTATATCTGTATTTGTTTCGTTCCATTATTGTACAACCAAGTGGCACCTATACCATAGCATCACAGCGGTGCGCTACATCGACCAAGCTCTCAGACCCCACATCATACCACATTTCGCACGGCACCGGAACAACATTTTCCAGCATGATAACGCCCGGGCCAAAACTGCCAGAGCTACACGGGACTTCCTACAGCAGAACGGTGTCAACATTATGCAGTGACCAGCCCTTACTCCTGATTTAAACCCAATTGAACATATTTGGGATGAAATTCAGAGGAGACTGAATGATGTCAAACCATGCCTTCCTCAGAGTGTGGTTCCAGGTGCGAATGGCCTTCATCAATTGATTGGTGCACTCCATGCATAGACGCTGTGCTGCAGTTATTGCCGCTTGTGGTGGTCACACTAGATACTGAAGTCAAAAGTCTGAATGGACTGCAAACGTTCACGTAATATCTTGAAATTTTGCTGAGTTAATCATTGATGTGTCAAGATATTGTACACAAAAAATGTTTTTGATCTGCATATTATATCAATTTCTGTAATGATTTGATTACAGTGCCTATCTAATTTTGAATTCGTACTGACGTTTTTGTTGTTGTTTTTTTTTGCTGCTGAGCATATTTTCCAGGTTCGACATTTAGAAGTTTGGTTGTATTCTTTGGAATTGGTGCTATTGCAGCCTCTACCACTATGGTTTGCATTTTTTCGTCCAGTGGGTCGTTGTATTCTTACTCTATCTCTTCTGTTTCTATAGAAGATAGCATCTAGGATCTGGGGCACTGACTACTGCAATAGGATTCCAGGATATGGTTCTTCTCCTAGTCACTCCAGTTCTTTTTCTCTACCCTGCTCTTGTCCTATCTCCCGTGCTGTCTTCCTGCCTTCTAGGATAGCCAATGTATCCGATCCAACCTAGCACCACCTGAAGACAAGCAGCAACTTGCGGAAGACGTGTTATTACCAGAGTTTCATATCATAACCTCACCACCCTCAGTTTCCCTCTGTGTATGAATAAATGCATGTATAATAGATCAAACATAACCATACCCAATTTGCCATAACTGCACTTATCAATAGAAGGTTCACGTCACCCTAACGTAATACACATACACAATAACGCTGTATACCAACATTACGTTAGTGTCATGATTATTCACTGACTCACATTTCTACTATCTAACATTAATACCCATACTTCATAATCCGAACCTTAAAAAGGGAACTTTTTCCGCAATAATTCAATTGCTACGATTGGCATACACATGTCCACGAACGTAATTACAACATTAAGCATCACTCAGTACCCCGATTCGAAATGTAAATACTTTCTAGCCATTACTAGCCTCTAAGTAGACATAAAATGTGATATTAAAAAAATGGAAGAAATAATTATTAAGTCATGACGTGGTTGCTCGACTTAATCATTATTGTGACTCATCCACATAACTGCAGGATTCTTATCAATTTCCCTTTCACCTCCGGGAACATTAGTTGTATACACAAATATTAATATATATTTATCATCTCCTACGAAGGAGATGCTAAGTTCTACGAAGGAGATTTTAAGTCCAACGAAGGAGATAGTGAGACCAAAAGGTTTCTTCACCGTGGCCCTACTACGCTTCCGTAGTAATGTAACATTTATTCCAACATGCTTTGAAAACATAAAAAAACATTTGCATAAAAAATCCATCAAGAAAACAAAATGGTGGTTAGATAATTCTTTCACCAAACACGATCATATGCTCATGCGTTTATCAGGTGCTTGGTGTAAAACATTTCTAACAAAAATGATTTCATATTTCATTAAATGAGGGCTGAGTAAGAAGGCATACTTCTTAAGTGCTCACGTTTCGCCAAGGGAATGGACCACAAAAGGAAGGAGAATGAAAGGAAAGCTCAGATGGTTTGACCCAAACAGAGAAGAAGCGGATTCCTGGAAGGTCAAATTGTTTCCCATAACAAATGCAAGTCATGCTGTGATTACATCACTGTTTGGCTCTTCACAAGGTGCCATTGTTCTTCTGGACAATCCACGCACTTTGTGTTCTGGGAAGATCCTAGAAAAGTGTACATGTATGCAGGTGCCTTCAAACTGTAAGTTTACGACGTCAATACGTGGAATAGCCGTCTAAAGTCTAAAGCTCATCTTCACGGGTCAATTCACAAATTGCATGAACTCGAAACAGTTTGCAGTCACATGACTGGTAAATTTGCGTTCATCCATCCCTTGTATGAAAGGAGGCTCAAAGTCTAAAGAAAGCCAATGTTCTTGCGTCATTTGAAGAAATTACAGAATTTTGTACCTCCCAGAATGATACGTTGTCGGTCTCAAAAGGAGAATAACTGTTAAGAGTAGTTAAGTCGTAGTTTTTATATCACATATAAATGAAAAATGTTAAAAGCGTCTATAACAGTGCTTTAATATTCCAGGGGACAATATTGGAGGAATGCAGTTGCATCTTGATTACTTGTATGTGTCTGCTGGCAAATCACTGTTCCGTTTGAAGATTAGGTGGTTTGCAAGATATAAGATGTTAGTAGATCCACAGCGTGTGATGAACCTACCGGATACCCCTTCAGATATTGCCATAGATGTACTCAACGGAAAACGGTATTCCATCATTATTTCATGGAAGTGTGGTAATAGACCAATCCAGTCCCGCCGATAAGCCCCGCCCACTTCGTTTTTAACGTTAGGGAGGACTAATCACAATGGCGGCACCGCGGGCGAAGCGTACGTGATTTCGAACGTTGTTGATGAATTTCGCTTGTGGTAATTTGGTATCTGCCGTTTATGAATGCTATTTAAAGAGGACATGTATTTGTTTTTTAATATATTTTAGTCGACAGAGTAACACGTATTTGATTTTAATGTTTTAATAGATTTTAGCTGACAGATTGTAAAAATCGTCTCGGACAGCTGCTGAGAATACGAAGCGTATTTTTGTTCGAACCAGTTAATCTATCTGTCAATTCACGTCCGTCAAAGATATTAGCAAGGAAGGGGAACTGAATTTATTTATTTTTATTTTTAAAAAAATATTTATGTTGCATTTTTACGGTAGCGCATACTCATTACAATTCATAATAACTAACGAAAAAGTAAATGGCAACTTAACCAGTACATATACAACGTGTCTTTATTTGAATTTATGGAGGCTGCATATTTAGTTAGTCTATAATAGTCAGTTAGCTCCCTTTGGATTTCGTTGAATTCTGGCACTTTCTTTAGTGATCTTCTGGTGAATATATGATGTTTTGTTGTTGATGTGATGATGTTAAGTGGGTTATTATGTCTTTCGGTATAGCTAAGGAAAACAATTTCTTCTGATATATTTATATTTATCTGAACCTCTGGTAGCAGCCAATTTTTCAAATTATTCCAAACGGAGCCTATATAATGGCATTGCCAGAACAAATGGAATATAGATTCCTTTTCTGTAGGACAATAGCTGCATAAATCGCTTTCAACTTATCCCATATTATAATGGCGAGAATTTGTGGGTAGGATATTGTGCAAAATCTGATACTTGAACGCACAAGCTATAATTTATTAATGTTTCAGTGCACAAATTCCACCAAGGAACTGAAGTTTGATGTTTCTTTTTTTTTTCAAATAGTCCTATTGTAATTTTATAAAAACCGTGAACACAACCACATTTTCAAGTTGTAGATCGTTTCGGTATCTATAAATAGATTGTCAACACTGCGCGTGGTGCCTTTATTTCCTTATTCATTGTTCAAATTTAGTTAAATCAATAATCTGAAAACATGAGTTTCTATCTTTTAATGAATTAAAGAATGGTAAATATAAACAAAGCAGAAAATATTTCCCATCTACTACTTCGTGCACCTTATTTGTCTGTATATACAAACCCGCGACGATCGGGGTTGGAATAGAATATTGATCTTCAGTAACCCATGCTTGTCGTAAGAGGCAACTAACCGGATCGGGTGGTCTGACTCGCTGACTTTGTTGACTGTTGATCAGTGGATGGTCTGGTCCAGACTCGATTATTTAGAGCCCGCCATCATATAGCAGGAATATTGCTGAGTGCGGCGTAAAACTAACTAACTCACTCATTCACTGTATATATTAATGTAAACAAATCAATCACAGCATAACTTATTTGATCTTAAAAGTTGATTGGGCTTGTAAACAGTATGTTTCCATGGACGTATCTGGACATACCCAGAAGCAAATATTCAGCAGCTAATCTGCAGCAAATTCTCAGTAGAGTTTCACTCTTCAAAATATGTACACCATCCTAAAATGACATTGAATATAAGGAAGTCCATTTTCTATTCACCCTTTCCAATTTAATGTTTCTATATGTACTTTGTTGTGGAATCCTAATTTACATACAAACTTCGACAATACTGAACTTCATGAACTGTCAGCCTTAATGTACAGGTATGTCACAGCATCAGAACACAGAAGATCCAAGATACAGTCTGCACCTGTTCACTGACCCATCTTCCAGAAAAAGGAAACATGTGATGCAAAATCTTTGAACTGGGGATCCACAGTTATCCAAACAATTAACTAGCATTGAAATAGAATGTTACACAAAATACAAATACATTGCTTTTTCTTCAGAGATATTTAACTGCTAACTACTAGTGTAAATAAGGTACCAAGAATATATCCTAAGTTCAAAGCTTTATGTCAATAAAATTACATATTGACATTATTGCTTCTTAAAGAATGGTAATCTTTGTTTTATTAGATCTGACACCATATCCCTCGAGGACATAACACTAATTTTGATATATTTCCTTTTCTAAGATACTTACTAGTGTCATAAAAAATATAGTAAAGTTGATTCATAAAGTCATAACAAAAGTTTAGAAAAACACACATGAAAATGTCCTGAAGCTTTCACCTCCTGCAAACCAGTGTGCAATTTAATATGAAGCTCATTTTTCAAATAACCATCAACAAACCTTGAACAAATTGTCCAAAACCAACATCTTAATATACACTAGGTTTGGCTCAGTCTTCAAATATTGGTAATCTCATCAAAAGCTGAAGATTTATCAGAAGAATTACATCGAATCTGGTCTAAAATTATGTTTTAATATTCATTCCAGCTACATGAACAGTCAAATGAGATTTTTTTCAGTTATTCTGTTCCAGGACTGAATAATGCCTGACAAGGGTGTGACCAAAACGTAGCCTTTTTTCAAATTCTCTGGATGTTGAAATAAATTTAATGAGTTGTGTTACAAGCAATCACTTTCTGAATTATCTTATTTGTAAATATATTATTTAAAAAACCAAAGATATGTTAAAGTAGGAACCAACAAACTAAGTTAGTACCAAGTGATTGTCCTGTCATGGTATGTCTATAATATTTGTTTGCCAAGTTCTGGCTTAAAATCATATGAATCTGATGTGTCAATCAATTAAATAATTATTTATAATTGATTAGATTATTATCTATTTATTACCTTTCCACATTTACTAAATGATGCAAGATTCTTAAAACATACCTTGCTACCATTTCCAGTGAATTATTTAAAATGACAGTTGTGTTATTACTCCTATAATCCAATATACCTCCCCTACATATGAATAATTTATGTTGTAACAAAAATTCAAATATTGTCCTCATAATTAGAAAACACATTTTATTTCACTCCGTCCAATATTCCAGAAAGTCACTATTCTTCCCACACAGTTTTCCTAAGACATGGTTTTATAGGCATTCATATGAACATGGTTTATTTCATATGAATTTATTTTGTTATTTGGATATTGCATGATAGCCAACTGCTGACACTGACGATATATCTGTTTGAATAAACAAATTTACTCTTCGACTATTTTTGCACTATTTACAGATACTGCACGCCTTCAGATTGTGGTTTGAAACTTTAAAACATCCGAAAATGTGTGACAAATTTAAGAATTTCTAAGAGCGAAGGCAACAATATCAACCACATTGTTCTTTTATGTAACAAGTTTTGCTATTTTCGGTCGACCCTAACCGAAATCATATCGATGTCAGATTTGTTTACATTGTGTCACGGCTTTCTCGCCCGTCTCATTTCAGATTATGGCCTACCATCTAAATGCCCAGTATTGACTAAAAACGTTAAGCGAAAAAAGTTTCGTTGTGAGAAGAATTGTCCGTGTTTATAACATTTGCAAAGTCTTAAACTGCTATTTGTTGTCATCTTTTGGTAATGATCTTGCAAATTCCCACCTTCGAGCAGACGTAAGTTTCGTGAACGGTGGTGCCGACATATAACTAACTGATCGTCAGGCCTATCGCACTCCTTGACCCGCCTCACATGTTTTGTCTTGACCGTTTTTGTTAACCAGATCGCAGCATTATGTTAGATATTGCGAGTGCGAATGGCACAATTCGAAGCACATCGCTTCGGAGGCATCGTTTGACCCCGGAAATAAGTCTAACAAATCCACAAAGAGCGCCCGGCCTACTGATTAGCCAAAAATTGACGCATGCGCCAGTTTTGATTGACATACTGGATCGGTCTATTCACAACTTTACAAAGATGCAAATATAATCTGATGTCAACACAGAATCAATTTTGTCTTCATGACATGTTTGTTTTATTAAAATGGTTGTGCATCAAAATTAAAGTTTTGTTGAAAAACTGTAAAGGGAAGCTGAGAAACCGCACTAGAACAACAAATTTACTACCGTTTTTTGCTCGAGTTCTCAGACCCAACTATGGAGACTACTGAAATATATACTCAAGATATTATCACAATTGTACAACCGACTCTGCTTTCAGCGGATATTTCTTCTACATGTGCAAATGGTTTGTTGCTATTTTGATCATCACGTCACACCTGCTTTTTCTGTAGAAGGCAGTAGGGTAGTTTAGTGGTTAAAGTATACGCCCGTCACGACAGACACTCTAGTTTGATACCCTACATGGTTGTAATGTGTGAAATGCATTGCTCATGTTCCTCGCCATGGCATTTCTGGAATATCCCTTGATACATCGTGAAACAATACTCACTCGCTCTTCCTTAGTATAACTGAGTGACAAAAATGAAATCATATATCTTATCAAACTGTTTATCTCTTTCAGCATGATATTCTATAGCAGTGAAAGTAAAGGACGGATAGGTCGAATTCTCAAGAACTCACACAAACAGAATGTTAAACATATGGATCCCTTAAACATCAGCTGCAACCGTTTCACCTTCACCATAGATTCGACAGGTAGGTTGCTAGTTGCAACACCTAACACAGACACTGGGCTGGTTGGTTCATTGTTTTACGCCACACTCAGCACTGTTCTCGCCATATGGCGGCGGTCTCTAAATAATCGAGTCTGGACCAGACCATACAGTGATACACAGCATGAGCATCGATCTAAGCAATTGGGATACGATGACATGTGTCAACCAAGTCAGAAAGCCTGACCACCCGATCCCGTTAGTGGCCTCTTACAACAAGCATGGGATACTGAAGATCAACTCTAACCCGGATCTTCACGGGTACAGACACTGGGACCTACAGATACTAAAACTATAAGATGTACCGATCAATGCAGAAAGTATATACTGCGTGGCACCTTTGGTGAGCGCGCATTGGAGCATGTCAATTTGGCCTCATGTCAGAATAGCCTCCAAAGGGTCAAATAGGCCACAGAAAAAATTTCGAAGGGCACATGGTCAAAACGGTCCATTCTATTTGGACATCAAAGAACTTTTCGAGACCATTTTGACAACTCTCGCATTTGTCCGCCGTCTATATGGGGTGGGGTATCCTAATTGTTGAAGCGTACGCTTGGAATGACCAGGGTTCAATTCCACAAATGGAGACATTGTGTGAAGCCTATTTCTGGTGTCGCAATATTACTGGAATATTACCAAGTGCGACGTAAAACCATACTAGCCTAATACGGTATTGTTGTATACAGTTGTAAATCATAGTTATATTAACTTGTAGGAATGATGTTATCGTTTTAAATTCAAGGGAATGTTCACAGTGAGGGATGTGTTTTCTCCAAATCTTGGGTTCGTGATTTCAGGTCACGTGATGTATGTTCTGACTGATGACAGGAAGCTGAGTCTGATCAGAGACATCCATACAGAGAATCCTCCCATCAGATCAACTGTCATGAAAGTTCCCAGATCCTTCACTTGGTCAATTACGAAGCTGCTGTTTTCAGTGAACACTATATATCTGATCTGGCCCGACAAAAAGTGAGTTGGCACTCATTGAATTCCAGCTCGGTTTCAAATACTCACCATGCGTATCTGTACAACCATTGTCGTTTTTATGCATGACTATACTAGTATTATATACTGAATAAAAACTGGCACCATCAATATTTTGGGGGATATTTGTATTATGCTTCATGTATGTTTTAATAAGTTATGCATGATCAATAACTTTTTTGTTCAGAATATTAAAACATGCCTACATTATTTCAGTGATGTAATGTGCCTTGACGTCCAAGAGAAACGTGTCTGTACCAGACGTCTTAGCAACGAGATGATATCTCGTCCCCCACGAGTTATAACTGTCATCACTCGCTGATAAGAAATCCACAATCCGGAGGACATAACGCCCAGATGACGAAAGCTGTTTGAAGTTAAAAAAGAGACTTTGAATCCTATTTTTCTGATTGGGGGTGAGATATTTATCAATTATGAATATCCAGGAACTGGCAAAATGTGAGCCAACATTCATTGTTTCATGCTACGCTTGCCGAAAAAGATAACCTGACAAATACCATTAAATGATGATAAAAACATTGAGTTTGTTTGTTTCAACTGCAGACACACACACGGACTAGTCAGATCGGGTTTCCCAACTAGTGATACACTTTTATCTGAACAATGACACGGGCACACGTGAATGTGTTTGAAAGTGATGAGTGATATTGAAGGTATATGTAATATCCTTTCTGTCGTAATGATGTAGCCTTAGGTGGGTAAAAGCTGCATAAAAAAGGATAAGACTGCGGGTGGTATTGCTGACACACCATCAGTTACATAGCAAATGTGGGATTGGAACACATTAGTATAGGAACTGGGTAAACACAAAGTTGGCATCCTCCATGGCTGCATAGTGATGTGTCACATGAGTGCATGTTACAGCTGGTTAAATCGCCAAGTAATGTCAATGGTTCACATGACTCGCTGTAGGGGTGAGGTGCGATTTATTCAGACATTTTCTTTAATAATACATCAAGCCCTGAAACACACATAACATTCTTAGAAACATTTACACATTACGAAATGTTTTGCACAGACATGAGTTCATATGCGACCTGCAAATTACAAACATCATTCATCAATGTGACAATACATTTACACAATACAAAGAAAACCACTGTAAGCATATACACAGGGAAAGCTGAGCAGAATGGTTGTTCATACAGAACATTCATCAACATGACAATGCTTTCACAATTTTTCTGCTCTCCACTCAAAGAAAACCATTGCACTTAAATACATTTAGAAAACTGAGGGAAATGGTTCTAAAAACAGAACATTACTTATAATGCTATTTGGATTTACATGAGTTATAATACAATACAACATGAACTTTGGCTTTCAGGTAATAAACCAAGTTTAGTAGGTTTACAACATGACCATATATTACAAATTACCAAATAACATTTAGACTACAATTAATTTAATGGAGATATAAAAGAACAAATACACTTAAGCATAATTTAGAATTCAAGTATTTAACTAACCTGTTTGATGTTGTTTATTGGACCTTGTTGCCTTGTTGCCTGGGTGCTGTATTTTGCTAAAGTGTTATTACAAGGGTGCTCAGATTGGTGCATGGGAATTATGAGAATTTGAAATTAGCCAATTAAGAGCTAGGAATTAGGGTCATGTGATAAACAATAATCCAAATTGAGACCATACTCTTGATCCAGCATATTTTGTGAATCCTAAACATAATAAGAACCTTTCAGATGAATGAAATGCATCTGAAATACTTGAAAAATACAACCAAATATCAATATGATTGACAGATGCTTAAAACCACAAACTTTAGAATACTACCACCTACCTTAAATATATTTTTAATGACCTTTTTATGACTTATATGATATTTTTATTCTTATTTTATTTGTAAACAATAAAACACTATAACACCATTATATATTCAATAATTGTAAAATAGTTCTATACAAATAAACCAAACTGACTCATTAAAAGCATGAAAAATTTCTCTGCTACACACTACCCCCCTATCAAAAAATTACGTCCCCGTCATCACTCATTTATCCTTTACAACCGACAAGAGAACATCTGATACTTTCGAAGGTAATGTGTAGTAAGTTCCACTGGTTGCAAGATGTTCCAAAAATCTTACTTTCTCCAGCCAATCTGGTGGTCGACCTGCTTCTGACATTACAAATACACCGCTAGTTTGCCATGCAGGTTTCCGTCTAGCTCTTTCTGATCGTCTGATCTGAGCATGTGGAATGCCTTGAGCAGGAGTTTGAATCCTTGTATCATTCACTTGTGCATTCTCGTGGCTACTATTAGTCTCTGTGTCCGAAACACTGTCAATACCAGTTGCAACATCTGTGACGTTGTCTACGTCAGGGGCAACAGCCAGCTCTGTGACGTCAGAACCATTAATGACAGTTTTATCTGTAACAGAAGTGACATCAACAAGATCTGTGGCATCCTGATCTTCAGTCAACAATGTGGACTCTGATTCTGGTGGGGAATCACCACTGATGTATTCCACTGTTCCAGTTACTTGCTCAGTTACATCTGGCACAGCGTCATCAACAAGGAATAAACTACCTTCATCCTGTTTCTGTGTTTCCATCTGTTTAACCTCAGCACCAGCCATGTTACCTGTGGGAGAATCACTGGCTGAAACAGACAAAATGACTTCGTCATAATCATCCTGTTGCTGCATGTCATTCATATTACTCGGTACAGTTTGAATCTTGGTTCTTTTTCGTGGTTTTGGCTGTGGTTTCCCTGGTATTGTATCCTCGCTTCCAATGGGGAGAAGGTGATTCCGATGCAAAGTTCTTACTTGACCCAACCCACACTCAGGTCCACAACAAATACAGGTATAGTAGGGTTTGGGTGTCCTTTGACAACATAAACATCCACTTCCCATGTGTCTGCTAGCTTATGTTTACCTTCAAAGGCAAGAGTTCTCACTAGCACTCTATCACCAATATGTACAGCTGCTCCTCTTGCTCTTTGATCATAGTTCTGTTTTTGTTTTCCTTTAGACTTTTGAGTGATATTAGTGGCTAGTTCATAAGATTTCTTCAGTCTGTCACGAAGAGACTTTGTGTAGGATTGTAATGACTGGCTTGTGTGATCCCGGTCAATTCCAAATGCAAGGTCTATCGGCAATCGTGGATGACGTCCAAACATCAAATAAAACGGAGAATACCCAGTAGTTTCATGTTTAGGTACAATTGTAGGCATGAACTAGAGGAGACACATGCATTTTCCAATCCTTCTTTTGGTCAGGTTGAAGAGTTCCAAGCATGTTCAAAAGTGTTCGGTTGAAGCGCTCCGTCTGACCATTACCCATGGGATGGTACGGCGTTGTTCTTGACTTTTTCATTCCGGTAATTGTACAAAGTTCTTCTATCAGACGACTTTCAAAGTTGGCACCTTGATCTGAATGGATTCTTGTTGGTAAACCATAATGTACCACGAAATGGTTCACCTGACTAAATGAAATGCTCTGTTGAAGGCATTCACGAATTCTTCAAAAAGGAAGTGCACTAGCCAAAAATAAGGAAATGTTTTAAACATACTTAAGTTTTCATAAGATGAACAGATGTGTTGTTGTCATCGTCAGCATTAATTCAGTTCACTGCACGTGTGTGGGCACAAGGGGGCGTTCAGGTCAGTACGTGGTGACACCACCCCCTGCTCGACACCGCCTTAGAATGAATTGCACAAATCGTCGGATTTCTTTCATTGGGAATTCGTCGCCATTCCTCCTGCAACGTGTTGGTAAGTTCTGCAAGTGTCTGAGGACGAGGATGACGTTTACGGACGTGTCGATCAAGTTCGTCCCATAGATGCTCCATCGGGTTCAGATCAGGCGATTTGGAAGGCCAGGGGAGGACATTGACGTTTGAACTGGCGAACTGTAGGTCGAGTGTTGTCGTGTTGAAACAGCTTTCTCTGGCGGTTACAAATTGGGAGGATGAGAGGTCGCACGATTTGATCAATGAAGCGATTTGCTGTAAGACTGCCTTGAACCAGCACTAACTTTTATCTACGTTGATAGACACGTTGTCTCCAATCCCACCGTTGTAGGAGTAAACACACCATCACTGAACAAACGTGTCGCCACTTCCCCAGATTCCACGCCTGTGCTCTTTTTGCACCATTGGACGCATCATGTCAGCAGGGCCAACTTTTGGTCAATATCCCACGATATTTGATGGTTTTGGTCGGAAATTCATCGCCTGGCACCTGTCCTGCAGTTCCGTTGCTGTAGCATAGGTGGAACGCCTGCATGAATCAGTCCTGAATAGGAGCACTCTTAGTCTTCCAACGATCTTGGGTCAATTGAAGCTCCAGTGCCATAATCGATAGTCTTGCAACAGCACACTGGGACTCCTTTGCACCCAAATGTTCAATGTTGCACGCATTACGTGGAAAACTTTTTTTCTGCTTGCACTTTTCATGTATCGATTTCATTTTATGACAAACGTTTACAAACACATTTCGGGACACGTTTGCGCGGAATACACAACAACAACAACATGATTAACGGGATTCAAAAATAGGAATGGTCTTAATTACGATTGCTGTCAAAATATATCCAAATGAAGAGTGTATTACTGATTCTGTGTCACGTACTTGAGTTGGCTTGTTCTTTTTTGTGCGTTGTCAACACCATACTTGAGCTGGTGGGCTTCGCCAAAATGGTGAAGGACAAAAGAGCTGCCCACAAGAAGACGGCATGCCATGATAAAACTGGAATAAGTTTCAGTTGTGGTTAATTGTGTTTGCTCGTCACGAAGAAAACCCAGGTTCGATTCCCAAAATAGGTTCAATGTGTCGAGCCCATTTCTGGAGTCCCCCGCCGTGATATTGTTGGAATCACGGCAACCTTTCATCCCACATGAAGATGGCGTGCCATGATGTAACTGGAATACATTTCAATTGGTCGTTCTTACTCACTCACACATTGTTGTAACAACGAATTTGATGCGTCGGCTTTACCTAGTTCGGGCAACTCAAAGATTCATCATCTAGTAGTTATGCAATCGATTTGGCTACATCAATGTCTGTCTATTATTTATCGGTTCCGATCATACGACAGGAATATTACCGAGAGTATGATAAAATAGAAGTACAAGCACCAAGCTAAATATTACAGGAGTTTTAATGTATTTTCTTTTTTACATTGTGATGTTATATTTTGACCTCCAAAGAACAAATGGCGCTTAAAGGCACTGTTGACTGTTAATACATTTCTACAGCTACAGAATTGATCAATTTTGCTGTTAATGGCGAGATCTGAATGTGTACAGGATGAAATGCCATTCATGCCCTCTTGCTATACATATGTCTTTCCCCAATCTGGGGCGGTGTGGTAGCCTAGTGATTAAAGTGTTCGCTCGTCTCGCCGAACACCTGGGTTCTAATCCCCAAATGGGTACTATATGTCATTTCTGGTGTCCCCGCCGTGATATTGCTGAAATATTGCTAAAAAGTGATGTAAAACTAAACTCTCTCAC